ATCTTGTTTTTTAAGATCCATTCCATGAACCTTACACACAGGAATTCCCATTTTCTGTTTTGAAATAATCATGTTATGGTTAGCTTTAATAAATTCCATAGGAGAAAGATAAGGAGAAAGATAAAGCTTTTCACTGCTGTTAGGATTCAAATGCAATGAAAGAAGGAAAATTTCAGGGGAGAGTTGAGTGTCTTGACTTTCGATATTATTCGACCCATGAAGATCATGTTCTTGGGTCGGGTTATGTAGGTGAGTTGGAGATGGAAGTTGGGTCATGAGCTTTGGAATGAAAAGGATTTATATAAGTTGGGTTGTTTAGGGGGACTTTGGTTGGGTTAGGCCTAGGTTATTTACTGATTATGGGCTTACTCATAATGAGTTTCAGCAAATGTGGGCCATTTGTGTGTTCCTCCTTTTTCTTAAAACGTGGGCCATTTGTTAACAAGATGGTTGGCCAACAATTAAATTGACTAAATGAGAGTAAGTGGGCTTGCTTATCGTAAAGTGGGTATAAAAGTGAGCTTTTAATACATTGGGCTTAATAATGGATAACAAGTAACTAAGTAAGTGCATAAAAAATCCTAACCTTCCATTCGGAAATGAGACAAATTTGTTAGCCTTTTTTTAAAATTAAAAAATAAATTAAAACTAGTCCTTTAATCTGCTAAAAAATTTTTTACAAAGAGGTGAAAGTGATATTATTCATTATATATAATTGAATGTGTAAGGGATGAAATCATCCAATAGAACTTGCTTAAAAGCATATATAATATTATAATTGTCATTTCTCTTATTCCATGCATTTTACAAGAAACCAAATTTTCAGTGTGGACCTCACTTGGAAAATACAGTTTGGTTGTCAAAATTATCAAAATACTTTGAATGAGTTAACAATTGAAGAGAGTTTGAGTACAGTTTGATAAATTCATAACTCGATTTGCACTTTAAGATAATGATATATAAAAAGGTTTTTTATATAATTTTTATTTATAATTTTTATATATCATAAAATAAAATATATATACATTATCACCAGTCTCACTAAAGTAAAAAGAAAAAATTAATTATTAGATAATGAATAAAGTTATATGAAAAAATGATATTTCAATTATTTCCCCTACACTTTTAATGTGCAATCTATAATTTTAAAAAATACAATTATGAATATAATTTCGAAGATTTAAGATTTAGGGTAGGCTTAGGTTGTTTATCTTGAGGAAATATCAACTGGAAAAGCACTTCCATTTCATAAACTTTAGGAAACAATAATAAATTGCTAAAATTAAAAGCCTAATTAGAATAGGACGCTCTTTTATAGACACACATTAACACCATCTCTAGCTAAAGCTAGAGAAGGTATATTATTGAATATAATAGAAAACACAACTTCAAGTACATTAATATGCACGGAATCACTCAACGTTCCATGCCACCATATCTATATGGCGCATGTTAATTATTTAGTACATAGATACTAAGATTCATCCCTTTCAATCCTTCATCAATACTCCTCAAGCAGGTCGAAGGGTTTTATGTCAGCAACCAACTCCTTCAGGGTTTGAGGATAAACCACGTGGTTGTCTGCTTCCCAGAATACGTGAGCCAGTTGTTCGTTGACGTATTGAGTGTTATGAACGCCATCAAAGAACACAAACCCACTTGGAGCAGGACACCCCTTTTTATCCAACAAGGCGCAACCTACTGCATGATACTCCCCGACGCCACAGCATGCGTGTTCAGCTTCTTTCAAGCCTGCATCAAGGAGAGAAAACAGTGATAAAGAGAAAAGTAGTTAAAATTAACATTAAGAAAGAATAATGTGACTGTATGAACTTCAGATATTAAAGACAATCCTACCATATGGTGAAGGGTTATCTACTCTCCTCTTAATTGCGCCAAAGAAATCTAATATTGAATAGCGGAGTACTCCTTTGTCTTTTTCCTCATGGGCTATTTTTTCTGCTAAGTGTTCCAGCATTTTTTTGAGTGCCTCATTGTGCTTCATTGCCAAAAGATTTAGAATAGGTTCTTGGCCTGTGCAGTTCGCTTCCTGTTTGACTGTTGGCAAAAGTCCAAGAGGTCCAACATTCTGAAACCCAAATCTTCTCACTCCCAGTTGAAATAGTTTCTGAAAATAAAATGAGAACAAAAAAAACAAGGTGAACTTTTAAGATGATCAAACATTGATCGCGCGCGGTTTCATAAAACATTTATATAATAAATCTTACATATACTTTAGCGATTATGTCATTCACCACATTTTGCACTACAATGTCGGGATCATTATAAATGGATTGATTTTTGCATCGGAAGTGGGACAGGTAGTCATGTGCACCTATTGAAATTAGAATGACAGAGCGATCAGCAACAGCCACCCATTCGGACTTTAACTTCTCAAATTTTTCTACTTGCTCCCCTAGAGTAATCTGAAACTCAGAACAGACACATTGTATATATGATCAGCTAACAATTAAAGAAATATAATTAATATTTCTGAACTTTGAATACCTCAGGTTTGGTCTCACAAGAAACAGCTGCTCCAGCCGAAGCAAAGTTAGCCCCCTGAGGGAGTACTTTTTTCACTTCTTCGAATGGAGGGATAGGTTCCAACTCTAAAAATCTCCCTGCAGTATATCAATAAAGCAGATATATTCAGCTACTGTGACGGATCGATGTTAACATACACGAACATATATAAATAAATAAATATATATATATATATATATATATATAAAAGCACATTAATGTCCTTTAGGGAATGTTTTCAGTCGTTAAGAATTTTAATCTTTATATTAAAGATATTAAGTACGAATCTTAAGTGAGAAGAGGTGAGAGTTATTTGTTGTTATATAATTCATCATTCAATATATATATATATAAAAGCACATTAATCTCTATATTTGTGTTTATATGTTACCAATATAATCAGGTACTATTGAGCCATCGGAGAATCTTCCATTAGGCTTGTCAAAAAATCTTCCGTATGGCCAATATTGAGATGGGATGCAGCTTTCATGGGGATGTTCAGCATTGGATATGTATTTCTTGTTACCAACGTCGAAGAAGGAATCACCAAAGATGAACAATGAGACCGTCTTGTTCTCAAGGCAGCCGCAGCTTACAGGATGGAAAAGGCTAGCACTTGCAAACAGACTGAACGCAAGAAGGAGAAAAGCTAGTCGTGCCATGATGAGGTCTGCTGTTTGGAGACTTTACTCAACTCTTTGCTTGCTGTGGTTTGGCTAGTCCTCACCACTCCCTATTTATAACCTTTTGAGTACCCATTTTCTGCATAAGGGGACATACTAGAAAACGCGTATCATCATAGCCTTCCTATAATTCTTCACGTGCAGCAATTCTTTTTGCCTGTTTATGCATGCAACTAGCCTCTTCTCTCTCTCTCTCTCTCGATTAGGAAATGTATCGAGTTCAAAATTTATGGTTAAGGGTTCATGTAATTTAGCTACATGATTGATAAGATGCAAGCAATTAGGGCACATGTTTGATTTTTTTTTTTTTTCATTAAGACTAGGATTCAATAAATTATAAATTAATCATAGCCCTAATTATGATTTTCAATCTTGGATTTTTTTTGACCTTAAGCTTTATAATAAATATATTTTTTAATAAATTTATATTAAAAAATAAAAATTAATATTTAATTTTTAAAATTTTAAATTAAATTTATCTATTTAATAGGAATTTTAAAATTAATATCAATTTTTATATTTTGTTTATATATAATTACGATAAAAAAAATATTTCTAATTTTGTGTTCTAAAAGAATTGGTTAAAAAAATCTTTGTTTTAACAGGATTACATTTTTTTGGGAAAAGGGGAATGGAATTTAGGAAAAAAGAATTTATAGGGCTGAAATAAAGGTATAAATAAATATATTAACTTCATATTTTTTTTATTTAAGAATTTTAATTTTATCAATTTTCAAATAAGGATGCTAATTTTCAATATTTTCTATTTAAGAATACTAGCTTTCAATATTTTTTATTTAAGGGTACCAATTTTCAACTTTCAATTTTTTCTATTTAAAGATATCAACTTTTAATAGTCTGATAAAACAATACATTAGTTATGTTAGCATTACCATCAAATTAATCTTTATATAAAAAAAGTTGAAAATTAATATTTCTAAATAGAAAAAAGATAATTTTAAATAAAAAAAATTAAAAATTGATATTATTAAATAAAAAATTAAAAGTTGATGTTTTTTATTTAGAAAATAACTAAATTAATATTTTGAAATAAAAAATACAAAATTAACATTTTTTTTGCACCTTTTTTCCGACCTACAGAGATAATCTTACTAATTGATGATTAATACCATTGAATTGAAGTGTGAGGATCCGTTAGAAAAATCTTTTAATCTTTATGGAATAAAAAGGGAAAATATTAAGAGAGAGGTAACTAGATCACGTGGATTCTAGCTGTCTCTCTATTATTATTATTACTCTTTTTTTTTGTTGCCATCGCGGTCATCTCTGCCTTTTTGGACTTTTAGTTCAATATAATCAACAGATATATATATGCTTGCACAACACTTGCATTCCGGTTGGCTTTATTTTCTTTTATTTATGAAACACATCTGGATTGTACATTAGTTTTAATTGGCAATTCATGAATTTAAAACCTGATTTGTTCAGCCATTCTTTTCTAAATTCCTTTGTATTATATTGGTATTTTGAAAGAATAATGATACAGGAATTAAATTTTATGAGACGAAATTGGAGGGTCATTTACATAGACAAATCTTTCCTCGCAAAAATAAAGTTACACATATATATCCATGTGACAAATGTATTGAGTTTTTAAATACGATTTATCAACGTAAGTAGTCTTCCAACTTTGTCTTGTAAGATTCGTTCCTTGTATCATATTCATCTTGAAAATGCGGCACACCTACGTAATAATAATCCAAACAGAAAATAAATAGTGAATGTACCGCTGTCTTCTTATTTCTTTTTCTTTTTCTTTTTCTTTTTCCTCTTTTTTGGGGCCGGGAGAGAGAGGATATCTTAAAGAAAAGATATGCCTACATTTTCGAAGAAAGAATTCAGGAATCAAAAATTCAAAATCTGATTCTGATCTTAATAAATGACAACAAGACAACTCCAGTAGGTATAACAGTTTTGGTTATGAATTGCAAAACGTGATTTAATTATCAACAACATTTCGAAAACCTAGCCATTTTTTTCTTATCGCTCCTATTTTATCCACTTTGCTTGCATACGAGCCCCAAGTATAAGGTGTCGGGCTTCATCAAATTTCCTCAGAGATCTACACTAGGGCAAATCAAAAGAGAAATGGTGAACTTATCTGTTCAGCTCTTCTCTTCTTTTGTTTTCTTTTATATTTTGGGTCTTATATAACTTTAAAATTAATAAACGATACAAACCAAAATTTTATTAACTTAACAACGACACTTTGAGATTAACTTCTTGTGATTTTTAAAAATTTAAACATAGTTTATTTACATTTTATTTTTGTGGAAAAGTGATCATAGCTCAAGTTTTGATAATAAAGATAAAGCAATCACAATACAACTTTATTCCATTCAAAAACACATTAATAGTCTACAAATTAATCTCATTTTCTACAACAAATATGTCACTTAAAATGTAGAGTAACTTGAAAAATAAAACAAACTAAAAAAGATAATAACACAAATTAACAAATATGTATGTATGTGTGTGTGTATATATTTAAGAACCTAACTATCTACTACCTCTTCGATATTAGTTATACTCCAAAGCAAATCTAACACCATAACAACTTGCAACTAAATAATAAATCTGAGCATGAAGCCATCCTTCCCTAACCCTTTCCAAACTTAATTTACTTCAATTATTGGTTTTCTTATTCTTATATAGGGTTGAAGGCAGTTATACATAATCCCTATGCTGTATTTTTGCTCATTCTTGTCCTAACACAAGCATATGCTAGTATCCACATTACCTAGATGTGAAAACTCAAGGATTCATCAATTCATGGCCTATGTCTTCCATATATAATACACCACTACTCTAACTTCATCGAGATATTAACAATTTCTGAATATTCATATATATATGGTGTCACTTTCACTTTCATTACAAGTCATCTTTTTCTTTTGTGTAAGGACACCTATAAATAATGGCAAAAGTGTTATGAGTGGTGGGGAGTTAACTTTGTCACGAGAAAAAGATATCTCGAAGCTTACCAGTAACATGCATTGTTGAAGGGGCCGGAAGCAATTAAAAGCTGTTGGCGTGTGGTTTGGTTTGCAGTCGTTTGGTCCCTACGGCTTTGTAGGAATGGTGTGATATTCAATCGTAAAATGGTGGATGAGGATAGGCTTTTTGATTTAGTACCGTTAAAGTAGAAAATGTTTAGGTCGGTTTGCAATCCAAAGCCGTATGATCACTGTCTTTGCTGACTTGTAAAGCCTGAAGATGTTTAATTGGAAAGACATTCCGTGACCCAAATCAATAATAATTTGTGAACTTTAGAGAGATGAGCTCTCAACTAAAGAATCTGAGAGAGAATAATTACTTTAAATATGAGTAATTGCAAGGTATATTTATAATCATATTTATGATACCAATGACACATGGTATCTTACCAATGGAACAGTTATCTGCAAATGAGTAGCATTCCTTGCAAAGACTATTTTGCACTTGTGCTTGGTTTTGGGCCTTAGGTCTGTTACATTGTGTTATGTCATTATCTCAACAAGTCCAAGTTAGATTTTTTCTTTAGTGCAAAAGAAACAAAGGAAAGAGATGCATTTCATTTATGGACTAGTGCATGCATTCAACCGTTGCAAGCTTTAAGATCCGTGGGAAGACTCAAGAAGTCCTAAGATACGATGCTCCTTTGTTCAGTTTACATTTTTTTGAGAGAAGGACCTACATTGCAGTGTTATTTTGACCATAAATAAATTTCTAGTAAAGGTTAGAATACCCCTTATACTATTTATTATATATCTAAATAAAATATTTGTTTGCCTTAAAAAAGAAAAGAAAAGAAAAAGAAAAAGAAAAAGAAAAACCCTGTCACTTTCATTGCTCCAACCTTGTCCGAGAAGCGAGTTGGGATGTCTTGATTTTATTTGACGCATGAAGAATGACGCATGAAGAATGGGTCATGTTCTTGGGTCGGTTTACACAGGAGAGAGTTGGAGACGGAAAGTGGATCATGAGCTATGCTGTTAAAGGGATATAGAAGTTGGGTTGATTTTTTGGAGACTCGGGTTGGGTTGAGCCAATGTAATATATTGATTATGGGCTTACTCATAATAGGTTTGAGCAAACTTGGGCCTTTTGAAATGACTAACTGATAGTAAGTGGGCTTCGTTATGGGAAAATGGGTCTAAAAGTGAGCGTTAAATTCATTGGGCTTTGATAATGGGTACAAGTACTTATCGCATATGGTGGCCATTTGAAAAATGCTATTCCGCCTTGTATCGGAAATGTAAACTTGATTAATTAAGCTATATAGTTATTATAATTTATAATATTATATAAAATTATAAATTTATAATTATAATATATTATTAAATAAATAAACGTATATATGAATGGTTAAAAAAAACATTATTATAAGTAAATTATAAATAAAAAATTATATTATAAATTTATAATTTTATGTAATATTGTAATTATATATTTTTATTAAATTTAACACATTTAAAAATATTTTTGTAGATTTGATTTAATTTATTCCTGAGATTTTTGCTCATGACAAACTGACACCCCAATGGCAAAACAAAATGAACTCAATTCTCCTATTCATAAGTGTTCGATACAGAAACAGCAACTGGTTCGTCAATCAAACGATCAATGTTGGAAGAAATTTCTGTTTCACTTTCGAGTTCAATTAGTTGTCTCAAGTTAAGAGGCCAAGTAACATTCGTCGTTCCATTCCATAACAACTCAATTAACTGAATATTGCAGGCTTCAGTAGCATGGGCTAAATCAAAATACACATATTCATTAGGATTACTGCAAAGTTCATATGGCGATGTTAAACTTCCACAAGTAGCACTTCCTCGGTATTCACCACTGCCGCAACATGCTACATCCCCTTCCTTGAAACCTTCAAAATATATATTGTTACAAAATGGTTATTAATTAAAAAAAAAAAAAAAACTCTAAATGGCAAAATAGAAAGAAAATTACAACACCCCCTGGCATTATGTACCATATTTTGATGGGTTTTCTGTTCTATCCATTAGTGTATTGAAGAAATCAAATATTAAATATTTGAATCCCGGCAACTCGCTTGCTAAGTCCTCAGCAGCAAAATTTAGAGCACTATTGTGCATGGTTGCTAGAGTTTGGAGTGATTCCACACAGCCAGTAGTGTTGTAGGACTGTTTTGATCCTGGCACACATCCGATTGGTGCTACATTTTGAAATGCAAATTTCCTTCCTCCTACTTTATATATTTCCTGCTTGCCAAAATAATAATAATGATAATAATAAAAAAATAAAAAATGAAAATGGAACTACGAGAACAAGAAAAATTTTTATGCATACCTTTACTCCGTTGGTTATATTGCCAACCACAATATTTACAAAATCTTGTATCTGTGATTCAGTAACATTAGAGTCTTCATAGATAAAGGTGGTGTAATCAACTCCTCCAATGCTAGAGTAATAGATGGCTCCTTTTAACAGCTCTTCTGCCTCTGCTTCACCTAACTGCTCCTTCAACAAATTTGAGACTTTCTTGAAGTAGTCTATTTGAACTTCCAAGGGTATCTGAGCAGTAATTTCAAGCATTATGAAGCTAATTAAGCTACAAATTACCAAAAATATTAAACTTTGATCAACAATTTTTGCAAGTAAATACTCTTTTTAAACTTTGATAAAATATTAGTGCTAAATTCCTACTTTCAGATGCCTGAGTTTGGATTAAGAAAAATATAATACCCCATCTTCATCGTCTTCAACAAGAGCGCATGCTCCAGCACTGGCAAAGTTTGCTCCAACTATAAAATTGTGATTATTGGGGTCTAAATAAGGTCTCCAATATGGTAAACCTGCATACGCAGCTGCAAAAGAAACAGAACAATTTCTTATTTGAACAACATAAAAGAGATGATCCAAATCCAATTTAATTGCAAATTAAAGAAAATGATGCAGTTGGGTAGCCTACCTGCAAAATCGGGAAGTATGCGGCCATCGCAGTGTCTTCCAGTTGGTTTAGGGAAAAAGGTCTCCCCATATGGGGGGAAATCCGCCTTGCCAATGCCCGAAGTAGAGGTGTTGATGTAGTTGTTATTCCCAGGATCAAAAACTGAATCTCCAAACACAAACATGGCAATCTGTTTCTTGGTCTGCACTCTGTAGTTGGTCTTATCATCACTTTGGGAGTTTGAGAGGGCCATTAGAATGGCAAAAACAAACAGGAAATGGAAGTGAATAGCCACTGACATGTTTAGGACAGTAGACTCGTTTGTGATTAGTTGTGATTTCTTGCATGAAGGATCAAAAAGCTATTGAATATCTATTAATGATTTTCTCTTGTTTTAACTGTTCCCATCACCGGATCTTCTGGTCCCCAATACCGATTGGTTTGGTTCAACTAAATGTCCAACTCTTTGACAGTTGGTTAACGAACTCAAACATAATACTTATGTCTGATTTTGGTACTTTATTTTCCTGTAACCAAAGGTCTATCCTTCTCATGTTGAAATTTTAGTTAGCTCAATTAAGAAACTAACAAGCATTCTTCTGCCTCTGCTTCTGGTCTCTTTTTGTAATCTATGACACCGTTAGCTCATCTACCTTCCGTTGTTTTAAAGGCACTAGCCTTGAATTGAACTAAAAAGAGGCTTAATATATACCTTCATTTTTAGTAACTAAATACCAGGACACCCGCAGAAGTAAGATGTCATGAGATTAAAATCTCCTATTATATGAGTGAGATGAGTTAGAAATAGGAAAAAAATTATTTTTCATTATACATTCATATATGTGTATATAATATAATCTATCTACTCAAAATAGAGCTAGAAATTTATGTTAAGAGGCAAAATTTTAAAATTTTTTGTGAGTCATTTATGGTATAATTTATACAAGTTTTTTAATTCAGTCATTAATTTTATGCATATACAATTTATATCATCCACAATAAATTTTAAATTAGTTAGATATATTTAACCATTTTTTAATAATATATAATTTAATATCATTAAATAAATAATATAAAAATATAATTTTTTTTTGTAAAGTCACATATATCAAATCAATTTTAAATTTCAAACGTATAATTTACATGAATAGGTAGCCAAAAAAATACAATTTACATGAATAAAATAGATTCAACTTTTGGTTTAACAAAAATGAATTATATCAAAAAAATTATATATAACTAATATAAACACTTATGCAAATTATATTAATTCTTACCTAAATAAAATTATCATGTCTTTATAAAAATTAAATAAAAAATAATTTCTTGAATCTTAAATATTTTTTTATATTTAAACCATCCTATAATTCAAACTATAAAAATAAAATTCTATAAATGAACAAACTATATTTGATATTTTTTATTTGAGAGGAATAGAGGGAAAGGGAGGAGAATGGTTATGTAACATCTATCTATTCTTCTCTTCTCATCTCCCATCATTTCATTTGGATAAATGAATAAATTGAAAAAATAATAAAACAAAAGACTTTCTTTCCTTTTCCTTCTCTTTAATTCTTTTGATAACCGAATAAAATAATTTTTTCCTTCCTCTATTCTCCATTTCCCTAATCTCAAACACATTGTAGCTCCTTTGTGACATAAAGAGTAATCACATTTAACTAAAAAAGTTATACATAATTATTTAATGTTAGAACAATCAAATTTTTGTTATTTTATAATTAACAAATCACAAAAATTAAATTACTTATAATTAATAATATTTATTTTAAAACTTAGGGAATTTTGGGGTGGGGAATTAATGGAAACTGGGAATAAAACTCGAGATTTCATGTCCTAACACCTCTCTTTCAAGGGAAATAACTATTAAGTCATTTAGTGTTAAGACTATAAGTAATTATATTATTATGAGATTAGTACATATTAATTGTAAATTTTTAAAAAAATTAGAATTCTAACCTATATTTGAAAATTAAAATCTTAATTAAAAATTTAAAAATCTATCAAATTAAATATTGATACCCAAATTTAAAAATTGATTATATATTTTAATATAATCAATTTTTAAATTTAAACATTATTATTTAATAGGATAAATTTTTAAATTTTAAATTAAATCTTATTTAAATTAAATAACATAATTTAAAATTAAGATTTTAATTTATTTTGAGAATCCAGATTAATAATCCAGATTAATACGTTTTTTCCACTCATGTTACAAGTATTATATTAACTAACTCAGGCAAAGCGGGATTTGACCCTTGTTTATTAAACAACTAATCCTCCATGATAACAATATGAAAGAACATAAGTAGAAATTGGTTTGTCCGATAGCAAGAGAGGAAGAACCTTATTATTCCACCCAAATGTCCTTTTTTCTTTAAAAAAAAATTGCCTATTGTTGTGTTTTAGAAACATCATCAGCAGGAACTTGTTCTGTGATCAAAAGATCATCATTTCCAGAATAAGTCTCCGTCTCAATCTCAAGTTCAATTAGTTCTCTCATGTTAACAGGCCAGATAACATCTGTTGATCCATTCCATAGCAACTCAATTAACTGAATGTTGCAAGCTTCAGTAGGATGGCCTGCGTCAAAATACACATATTCATTGGGATCACTGCAAAGTTCATATGCTGTCGTTAAACTGCCACAATTACTGTCTCCTCGGTGTGCGCCACTGCCGCAACATGCTACATCCCCTACCTTGAAACCTTTAAAAAATCATCACAAAAGTTGTTAATATAGAATTAAAGAAAAAAAAAAAGAAAAATTCACCTTTTCAAAAAAAATAAAAAAAATAAATAAAAAAGAAAGAAAAATTAATGATAAAATGGAAATTACAACATCCTGTATACCATATTTTGTTGGGTTTTGTGTTCTATCCATTAATGCATTGAAGAAATCAAATACTAAGTATTTGAATCCAGGTAACTCGCTGGCTAACTTCTCGGCAACAACATTTAAAGCATTATTATGCATGGTTGCTATGTTCTGGAGTGCCTCCGCGCAGTCAGTAGTAGTGTTGAATGACTCTTTTGATCCTGGCGTACATCCGAGTGGTCCAACATTTTGAAATGCAAATTTCCTTCCACCTACATTATATATTTCCTGCTTGCAAAATGGAAAAAATGAATAAGGAGAACTCATGAACAAGAAAAAATGATACAGATAAGTGTTTTCGGTGCGTACCTTAATTTGGTTTGTTATATTGCCAATCACAATATTTACATAATCTTCAACCAATGATTCAGTAACGTTAGTGGCAGTAATAATAAAGGAAGTGTAATCTACTCCTCCAATGCTAGAGTAGTAGATAGCTCTTTCTAGCAACTCTTTCGCTTCAGTTTCGCCTAACTGATCCTTCAACAAATTTGCAACGTCCTTCAAGTATTTTACTTGTATTTCAAAGGGTATCTGAGAAATAATTCCAAGCATTCATGAAGCTAGTTAAGCCACAAATTAATGAATTTGCTTAATAACAAAAAACGGTTTTTTTATAACCTCTTAAGGCATAGATTAAAAATATAATAAATATATATATTTTTGTCATAAATTTATATTAAAAAAATAAAAATTAATATTTAATTTATTAATTGTCTAATTAAATTCATTCATTTAACACCTATACTAAAATTAATATCAATTTTTACATTTTTAATATGTATTTATGAACAAAAGGTACCTTGACCTATATCTTTAGAAAAACTCAACAATAAAAATAAGAGTTCGATTTTATTTATGGAGTCTCATTTTTTATTTTTTATTTTTTTCGTATGAATAATTTTTCTTTTGTGGTAAACTTACAAACTTCCCAAAAAATTCAAGTGTTGGTCAATAAAGTAGCAAATACTCATATCAACTAGCTCGACCCTCCCCCAATAAAACCTATACTATTGGTGTGAAATCCTTACTTCCAGGCAGCTAAGTTTGGATAAAGAAACAAAAATTACCGAATTATTGTTGGTTTCAATTAGAGCGCAGGCTCCAGCACTAGCAAAGTTTACTCCAACAGTAAAATTGTCATCATCAGGGTCTAAGTAAGCTCTCCAATATGGTAAACCTGCATACGCGGCTGCAAAAGAAACAGAGAGCAATTACTAACTTAATTGCAAATTAAAGAAAAATGCATATATAGTTGGCTAGATTACCAGCAAAATCAGGAAGAATGCGACCGTCACAATCTCTTCCAGTTGGATAATGGAAAAATGTCTCCCCATATGGTGGGAAATTCACCCTGGCCCCACTGGAAGGGACGTAATCGTTATTCCCAGGATCAAAAAGAGAATCTCCAAACACAAACATAGCAATCTTTTTGTTGGACTGCACCCTGAGATTGGGTTTATCAGTTTGGGAGTTTGCAAGGGCAATGAGAATGGCTAAAACAAACAGGAAACGGAAGTGATTTTCTAAACTGGACATGATAGTGATGGTGACTGTAGGTTTGAACATGGTACGGTATTAGTTTAACATAAAAGAGCGATTGAAGTAACATCGACGACATGAATGAAATGCTGCTTTATATTGGTCCGAACCAGGCAACCGCTACTTCATTGTCTGGTCTCTGGGACCAACCGTTGGGCTTCAACCAATTTTCCAATAGTTGCAGAATTAGTTGAAGACCAACATTCTACCTCCGTGATTCTCGTCACAGTACTTGACCTTCCGTTAGGCGTTAGCTCAGCTAAATTTTGGTTTTATTTAATATTCATTTTTTTTTTTATAAAAATTAACATGTGAGGAAAAAATATTCAAAGCAACACATCTTATCTCTTAATAAATGGCC